TTACTAATGTTACACACATTTCTCCCTTGAAACTACTCACGTTTCAGAGATGCAAATACTTTCCTGATCCCTGCTTGCATGTCCTTGTTCCGGAAACTGTACACAATCGGGTTTATGTGGGGGTCATGAGGGTATAGAGCGCAGCTACCACCTCGTCCCTTTCAAATGTGTAGCTGGAAGCAGGGCGAATATAGGTGTAGGTGACAGGGGAGTAGAAAAGAGACACCAGTATGAGGTGGGATGAGCATGTTGAGAAGGCTTTTCTCTTGCCTTCCATTGTGCGAATGCGAAGAATGGCGACGATGATGAAACCGTAGGAGACGCAGGTGAGGGTGAAGTTGCCCACAGCCAGAGTGAGGTCAGCAACATACACCATCCCTTCATTGATTCACACAGGGTTGCAGGACAAAGCCAGCAGCGGGGGTATCTCACAGAAGAAGTGGTCAATGGTATTTGATCCACAGAAGGTCAGCCTCAGGATGAGACCTGTGTGCACCCAGGAATTGGTTACAGTAATAACCATGACAGTGCTGAGCAAGGCCACGCACATCTGGTGGTTCATAATAGCACTGTAGCGAAGAGGGAAGCAGATGGCCACGTAGCGGTCATAGGCCATGGCGGTGAAGAGAACCATCTCGGCACCCAGGGACCATGTGAAGAAGAAGAGTTGGGGCATGCAGCCTCCATATGACATGGTCTTTCTTGAGGTGAGCATGGTCTCAAGCATTTTTGGTATTACACTTGTTGTGCAGATGACGTCCACAACAGCCAGAGCCAGGAGGAAGAGGTACATGGGTGTGTGCAAGGTGGTGTTGGAGATTATGGCAATGACAATCAGCGCGTTGCCAAGAAAAGCCACAAGGTAGACGAAAAGAAAGACAATGAAGAGAACTTGCTGGAGTTCAGGGTTTTGAGTGAGGCCCAGAATCACGAACTCAGTTACAACACTCTCATTCATCTTGCTTTTGCGATTAAATGGCAGACATTGCAGACAGCAAACAACTGGAAAGTAAGGCTATCTGGGTGCTGCTATTAGGAAATTGTGTGTGTGTGTGTGTGAATTCAGTAGTTTGATTATTGATTTGAAAAAATTTTGTAGAAGGACTTTTTCATTGATTCTCATTTTTCAATGAGCTTTGTCTTCCAGGCAATATCAGTTCTCCAGATGAATACAGTTTTTTGATATATGTTTTTGCAACAATGACTCCATTAAACAAAAGCCAGTGGTTGAGAAGGAAGAGATTAGAAAAATAAATGTCTGAATATTTCAATATTGTCATTTTGAGTTGAAACTTGTCTGAGCATAATTTATATTCATATATATACACACACTCACACAATGGAAATATAAATAATTACATATCTCATTAATTCTGTTATTGACATGTCATCTTTGCACAAACATACATATGCAGGAATATCTGCAACCATAGAAGTGGACAAGGATAATTATGGTGGGAACATTTCAGCAGAAAAAGAACCTAAGAGACTATCCTGAGACTAGATATGCCTGGGACCGATAGCTAATTTATTGGGTCCAAGCACTAAGTAATTTGGTCAAACGCTTGCCTTGCTATTTTGTTTCTTCAGTTTGACAAGTGTGGTTTTAAAGTGGAAGAACTGATTTTCTGTGGTGTCATAAAATGGTAAGAGGGTTTGATTTAAAACTAGAAGGTCTAAGATTGCATCTCCAATTCATTATAACAGTAAAATGGCCATTTAACTCCATAACTTCAGATTTGTTGTCTCCAAAACTGGTATAAATTGGGACAAATACTAGATATTATACAGATAGAGTGAAAGTTTCTTGAGGATACTCAAGGAAAGAGGCAACTGGAAACGTTTTTCCTGAAAGCAGCCACTAAGTGCATAACAGAAACCCTTGTTATATTTTATTCCTGCCCAAAACTTCTCTAGCATTTTGTCAGTTGTTTTATTTTTTGCTTATTTATTTGTATAGTTTTTTTAAATGCATAATCAGTTATTTATATGAATTATAGCCATCAGGACTTTTATGAACTGGCAAATATAGTAAAAGTGTTCAAAGTAACTGTGAGTGTATTCCAGAACTTTATTTTTTATCAGAGTGCTTTGACTTTTCAGAGATTAAATTCTATTTCAGATACCTAAACAAAGGTATAAATAAAAATCATTTTTGAGGTCAAATGCAGTTTGATTTGATCCCTTATGCCCTGAAACTGCAATTAATAATTTGCTAAATTTGAGCTACTACCTGATTTATGTGTAGCTGTTCTGACTGGAAGAAAAAATAAATAAAAGTTTTGTTTAATCTATAACCC